AAATTTCAACCTGATTGTAAAATAAAGAGAATAGGAAAAGTTTCAATACAATAATTTCTACAAACTTCATGAAATCCAAAATCGAAAATGCAGAATTGATAAGTGATTTTGTTGAATAAACGATGTTTTTTTTTTGAAGTGGAAGAAGTGTCAAGTGAATTGAGGCACTAAAGTACTTAAGTGTGCAAATCGAACAGATACTCTTCAGTGCATCTGACATGAGCAAAACCAACTGTATTTCGTTTGTTACAGAATGCAATGCACTTCTTGAAAATCAAATTTGACTTCAGAAGAATCACGATGGTAATTGGAATGTAAAGGAGTGGCAAATTTAAGTTGCAAAAGACAAAATCCTTGAATTTTGAACATATAAAAAGAAACACGCGTGATTTTGACCTCTACTCAGTCCAACATTTCCTGAAGTTTCACGACCAACCAATGGATCTTCTTGATGGCATTCATAAGAACAAGGCCAACAAATGTTTCGCGTACCAGGCACCGCTCGATCAACAAAAAGACATTCTGATACATAGGTACACACATACGCATATATAAATACACATGCACACACACATATTTTATACACGTACATACGGATGCGAATAGCGAATAAGCGAATATGCTGCCTCCGTAACAACATTAACATGGGGCACCCACATTGAACGTCCGGGTAGTGGCGCTATTCTTGGTACATGTCTTTAACAGCAATATAAACAATAAAAAACAATGTAAGAAAAAATCCTTAAAAAAAGGCAAAGATAAAACAAACAGAACGTAAAAATTATTCATGGAAGCGAAAAAAGTGAATCATGAAAGGAAACATGAACAAAAGCCGCGCTGACACATCCAGTTCGACAGGAAAGCGGGATCAAAGCAATAATAAAAGGAGGCTATTTTGACATTCTTGCAAAAACAAGCATTATCTAAACTTCCGCTGCACTTCCGCCTAATAAAAAGTAAACACAGTGGGAAAAAGTGCATGCAGAAAAGTATATGTGTTACGCATTGCCCTCAAAATCAAAAGTCAAAGACCCTTCCCAAATTTCAATTTCTGCAGCGATATTCGAAAGTGGCCCATGACGCAGTACTTCACCAAAAGCAGCTATCCTCTGCTAGCAACTCCATCCCTGCATTTGGAATTCTGAGACTTTGCTTTTACAACCTGAGACACTTAAAAATTAATCCGATTATTTTTCTCGTCCTTTTTCTACTTCGATGACTGCACATCCACTTTTTCAGAGGTACTCCTATCGAAACTCATAATTTAGGGTATTTAAACTGATTCTGCATATCGCTATCTACCTCCCCACTGAACAATCATACATTTTTAGAGCACTGGAAAAAAAGTAAATCAAAAGAACAAAAACAGCCTACTCTAGTGGAAGAGACAACAATCCGTCCAGTTCATTTCCAAAAAGCCAAAAATGAACGTTCAAAAACATTCTGCAGCCTTCTAAAAAAGAACAATCTCTGAGTGATTCTTCTAAAAACACTTCTGGGGTAGATATGTGTAAAAATATGAGTATGTGGAGCTATAATAACACGAGAAAAAGTTACTCAGAACAGCTAAGCAAGCTACTGAGGAACATGTTAGCGGCAAGTGACAACGATGTAATGATCCTGTCGTGGAGAGGACAGGAAATGTGCATGGAAAAAGCGTGAGCACAATCGAAAATTCAGGGAACTGATAAGACGTTTCGTCAACTGATAAGTCTTCTCGTACATCACAATGTAATCAGCCCCTTCTAACAGTTTCGCATTTTCGACAATCCACCGATTCGGATCGATGTGAAATTGATCAGCCTGATCCACATAATCATTTTTGTACTCCAAATTAGGCGAGCAATCCAGTGCAGTGATAGACACGTTCAAGCCATGGAAATAGCTGTACTGGGGCATCGAGAAGCATGGCATCAACTGAACGATCTCGAAATGCTTTTTCGTCGCGCTAAATCGTCGGCTGGCCAAATGTTCGCCAATCCATCGCGTGGCCGTGAAAACGCCTGCCTGATGATATAGGCCCAAATACAGCGCCATGGGTATGTTGACCACGAGCAGCAGGCCAATCCATAGTGATCGTCGGGTGAAGATCATCCGATTACCCGTCTTTCTCTTCCAGTACAACAAGCCAGAATTCAAGAAATAACCGGCGAAGAGACACAACAGTGGAATAATCGGAAGCAAAAATCTATGCTCCTTGTGAGCGATGAAGCTATGACCAGTGACGTACAGTATCGGAGTGATAGCAAATATCAGCGGAGGAGGTGAAGAAAAATGAAGGCTGCCATTTCTGCAAGCAAGCCAAACACCTCCAATAATCGGAATCAGCTGGACTGTGAGGACGGCAGGTAGGCCCTGTATGAGAAACCAATGCCACGGATGCGATCCGAAGTGGGCGCTACCGCCCTGGAACACGTTGAAACTAGCAAAGTTCCAAATCGTCAACGTCCATCGGCCATAGACGGCCGAATCGAGCAGCAGAGCAGCCAGAAGAGTCGGAAGGCATGCAGGTGCGCAGACACCGAAAATGAGCCTGAACGGGGAGCTGGAGCGCCAAAGATGCCAGAGGCCGAGCGGGATCCAAATGAGAATTGCAGTGGGCCGAATCAGGATGCTGACAAAGCCCAGGGAGATGTATGGCCAGCAACGGCGTGTGGCCAGATCCTTCGCTGTCAGCGGGTACCAGTGCAGTGCATAAAGCACTAGAGCTGTCTCCAGCGCATTCGAAAGTGTACGTGGTGCGCAGTACCATACAAACCAGCAGGACAGATAGCTGGTGAGCGCATAGCTGGCGGCACTGTGCGATGCAAGTGTTCGATGGGCAAGCCCGTAGAACGAAAAATCGGAAAATGCAAACAACAGAGCATGAAGTAATCGCGGTGCTTCGGTGACGTACAGTGCCGAATCGATGCCCAGTGAGCGTCCAATGCGGTAGAGCAGCGCGATACAGGCTGGATGCAGCACGGAGCGAAGTGACCACTTCCATTCCCAGGACACGTAGCCGACACCGTAGACTGCTCGATGCGCCACTTCCACACTTTGGAAAAGCTCGTCCGGCACAAAATAAGTTCGCACCAGCAAGGCATTAAGCAATCGAAAGATTATCAGAGCGAACAACATTCTGATGTTCGACAAGGACGTCGCGCCTCGCATCTTCGTACTGTTTCGCCTCACTCACTGCAACACAGCCTCCGTCCTTCCTCTGTATTTTACGGTGAATTCACGAAAACATCTCAAACATGCAAGTAAACAAAAGTGCCCGGACGACCACGTGGAGCTCCGACGCAGCTGTACATCAGAAGTAGCTAGATCAGACGAAATAGCTGCAGATCACAGCCGCACTTTTACTATGCAAACGCATCAACCCTTCACAACTGCCCCAGCGGCTGATTTCTTTCAGCAATGCCAGATACCGGCCGATGCATTGGGTAGATGCTATGTGTACGAGCTGAAAATGTAACCGAGAGAGGGAGAATAACGATGCAAAGGCACAACCGAGAAAAGTTTCGCGTCAGAAGTCTCAAAACCCTCTAAAGTGGGCTTAACAGGAGTGGGTTACCTTCGATTGCTGGTAACAGCAACGACAGCTTCCTTTTCCGAGAACTCAGAAGCAAACTAATGGCGGTTTTTAACTCCTCAGCATGAGCTTGTACCAACTTGCCATCGAAACTAATGAACAAATCTTACAGGGCTTAGTTATCCCACTAGTGGGGTCAGATTCGTCGGTTTTTTGCAAGAGAGTAACGGCTGCTCAAAGATAGGAGTCTTAATGGAGTAGTGGGAAATATAAGCATGGACTAAGATAAGCATAGACCAAGATTCAAGTGGTTCATACGAATCACTATATTAAGTCTTTACGTCTAGTTACATGTAAATACGTGTAGCCGGCAAACATGGAACAAAGGGAAAACAAAGAAGCTACAAGCTTCACTGACTGGAAAGCAACGAACACAACGAGAGAAGAAAGAAGCTGCGCAAAATAACAAAGTAAAAAAAGTCAAAAGTTCGGAATCCTTGAAACTTCAGTAGCCCTCACTCCACAAGAAACTATATTTGATCCGCTATCTATGAGAATTAAATATGTTTAACAGATAGAGGAGCTAACTATGACAGTTAATTATGCTGGAGAGAGGCTGCTGGGTTGTTTTAACACATATAAATACGGGTTTTTTCCCGAAAAACAAAAATTGGCTAGCCATATGCTGCAAGTATTTTCAAGGTAATTAATTCCCATTTAGTTAATACTGTACAAATGATAAAGCTAACATTTGGCGTTACAGTTATCCAATGCTTATTAACGTAGCTCTTCATAAATGCGTGAGAATGCTCTGAATCATGCACATATCACAAAATTTCTTTCTTTTCCTTTGCAAAATCTAAATTTTTTCCCTCATTTCACTCATGTTCTCTCTCTCTCTTGCTCTGAGGGAAAAAGGAATATGGAAGTAGAGCGAGTGACAGCATTTCACCAACAACAATCCCTTCCTGTGTAGGCGATGGTTCCTCCTTCTTTTGTTGATAGAAAATCGCCAAAAAATAACCTTCTTTAAATAGCGAACAATTTTCTTCAGATCATATTCAGGTGCAATACCCTGAACAGTTGTGATGGTTTTGCGGCCAGTTCGCTGCTGAATTCTGATATGGCAGAAACCCTGGCGTGTGCCCTCTTCGTCCTCTAGTTGCTCGAAAGCATCTGAAAAACACTTTTCTTTCCGGTGGTCAAAAAAACCCCCGGAACAAGCCTGGTAGGTGTTCGCTTAAAGAGTGGGAATGAGTTTGAAAATGATTTTCGATTATTCAACCCGTAATGCAAGATGGATAATGCGAAATTTCCAGTGCACAACATAATTTTACAACCACAGTTACCTGCGCATTAACAGCTAATCGAATTTTAAAGCTAAAATTACAACTAAAACGCTTCTGGAACCAGTGGCAGGCGTTCAGACGGACTGTATTTCTCATTAGTTGGGCCTATTTTCCTCAATATTTTTACATTTCTTCAACAATTTTTTCTCATTTTTTACATTTTTTTAAAGATATTTCCTGCAGTTTTAGAGGTTTGCACGCATTCCTGTTCTTTCCATACGAAAGAAGAACTAGTCGAGTCAAAAAAACACCCAAGTTCATCTTTTTAGGCGGAAAAAAGTGAAATAAAACCGACTCATTGCTGTTGAAGACAAGTATGAAGAAATCGCCGGTCCTCTGTTTCTGATTTTAAGCATAATTAATGAAGAGAGAAAAAAAAAAACCTTTGGGCTTGTTAAGATTCTGAATTGACGATGTGGCCATTCGATGATTGCTTATAACTTCTGCTTTCCCTGTAACTGTCTGAGCACTAACGTTCAATTAAATAAGAAGAAATAAGACAGCATCCCTTGTGGTGACCGAGGACTGGGTAAGGGACCTTTATGTTGGTCTAAAAACGGCTACAACTGGGATCCAATAGCTCAGAATGTACCACAACTCCGCACTGATTATGCCCATTAGATCCAACAAGTGTTAAGGAATTTTTTTTAAAAAAATGCAAACCGAAAGTGTAGGAGGAACAGACGACCAGTAGAGCCGAGCTGTTTATGTTATACATTAACAGTATTTCCATGCAACAACTACTAAAACTCGGCTCGGCTCGGCTCGGCCGGAAAACATACGCTCACTTTTGGAATTCGACCCAAGCTGCGAAAAAATTATAAAAAATCGAAATTTTATAAAAGTGTTGTGTTTAGGATAGCTAACTTCC